CCTCCATATTGGAATGAAAATCTGAGTGTTAGCTCAGAGTTAGTTGTATATTCCCTTAAGGCAGGAAGGATAAGGTTCTCACTTTGGTATACCACCCAAACCCATGGAATTTGGGGGATGTCCTCTCTGCAAAGAGAATGTAAATGGAGAGCCCTGGCCACCATGCTGCCCCTGCTCCTACAGCACAAACCCACAATTTTAGCTCAGGAAGAATCAAGGTGAGCGGGGCAAGTCTCTCTCACAATCCTAGGTGTCTCTAAGACCCAAGCCCACTTCTAGGCTTTTAGCTACTGTAGATGGACCATGACCCCTCGTAGCATTTCTTGTAAATCATTCCTTACACTTCCTTGTAAAACATTTTAAAAAGAAAATTTTCCTACATCTCCTTTGCGCTCTTCTTTCTTCTCATTGTGTCCACCCATTTTTCCTTCCTTAGCCATGTGACAGAACATATTCCCTTCTTTTTCAATCCTGTTATCTCCTCAAAGTTATTTTTTCTGTGAGAGAGAGAGAGTGTGTGCATGTGTGTGGGGTAGAGTGGGAGGGGGGCTGTAAATGGACAGAAGGCGACCCAGAGGATCCTTTCCCCCTCCTAGGGTATGTCTATACTACCACCCTAGTTCGAACTAGGCTGGTAATGTAGGCAACTGGAGTTGCAAATGAAGCCCGGGATTTGAATTTCCCGGGCTTCATTTGCATAAAGCCGGGCGCCGCCATTTTTAAATGTCCGCTAGTGCGGACTCCGTGCCGCGTGTGAGTCCGCACTAGCGGACATTTAAAAATGGCGACGCCCGGCTTTATGCAAATGAAGCCCGGGAAATTCAAATCCCGGGCTTCATTTGCAACTCCAGTTGGCTACATTACCAGCCTAGTTCGAACTAGGGTGGTAGTATAGACATACCCCTAGAGAAGAATGGCATTGAGGAGAGTCCACAGGTTGATACACTCAGGAGGACTCAACACACTTTGCCTTGTCTAGTCTCAGACAAGGCGGAACTAACAAAATGCTAGGCATTTGCTCAGCACTACTGTTTGCTCTGTTGATGGGGACAGAAGAGAGAGAACTTCAGTGCGGAGGAGAACATCAGTAGAGGTATTAGGTCTGGTATTCTACATAGGGGATGGGTGTCTGTTTAAAAAAAAAAAATTCTGCCACTTCCATCAGTTCTGCTACTTCTTACATAGACATGGACTGTCTATGGGAGCAACAGTCATGTCCAGCCTGCATTCTACCAAAACTCTAAGTAGGGGTCCTGCAAGACCTCTACACTAGGGCTTTTGTGTGTTTAAAGAAAAGAGGAAGCATGGCACAAAGAAAGAAATCCACCTTTCCATGTTACTCCAGCACTGGCCCATAAGTGTAGGCTGCTGCGCATGTGTGGAAGTGGAGGGCTACGTGCACATGGGAACCTATGCAATTAGATTTGATTTCAGCTTTGAAATAGCTATAATATTTTGTATTTGAAGCATCCTCTTCTGTCAGCATGGTACAGTACAAGCAATACTCAGATGTGCTTCCAGTTTATAAAGGTTAGCTTCTCACCAAAGCCAGTTTTTGCAAAGAGGGCCAGAAGAGACAAGGGCAAGGAACCGAACCTCTGACTAGGGCTGCACATTTCAGGAATTACCACACCTTCAGTAAATTCACCAGTGATCTAACCCACATCCCTTAGACAGTGTTTTCATTTGCTCATGCCTCAAAGGCTTTCATATTTCCTTTGGTTGGACATTTATCTTTATGTTCCAGGGAGAATCACTTCACAGATTAATCTTCACACAGCGTAGGTCCTGTGTGAAAGGTCATGGGAGGACTTTGTTTTACTAATCATCTTGTTATAAAAGGCAGGAAATGGAAAAAGACACACTGGAAATGTTAGTGACGATGATATGGCAGAGAATTTAATAAACTCTGCAGCATTAGAAAGCAAAAAACTGACCGTGTGTGGTAAGAAACCACATAAATGATGCTCATGTGGTGGAATGGGACTGACACATGTCGCAAACAAGCTAAGAAAAAGGGAGAAGTGCAACCAGCCGTCCCTTTCTGAGTCTCAGTTAAGAGAATGTGACATGACTGGTTGCATTGTCTGAAATGCCCCATCCAGATAACAAGTGTTAATCCTGATGGGAAAAGCTAAAGTAGGTTTGTTGGGTTCAGTGTCCCACTCAAGTATGAGTAAGTAGAAATGGCCCTCAGAGAGTAAGGGTGTGTGCTAGGATTTAGCCAACACAGTTCCTGAGGAAGGAGACCCAGGAGCAAAAAAGCCTGAAAATAGTGTAGTGTAAAGATAAAATAAACACATGGGTAGACACGCCTGCTTGATGGATTTCTCTGAAAACTTAAGTACCATTGTAAAGTTACCTACACTATTTCCTGCCCCCAGTATAGAAGACATGGTGTGAGTGTGTCTACATACTGGTGACCTCCAGCAGCAACCAGAATGGGACCTGGGAGGGCAGGAGCAGTCAGTATCATAGAAACTGGGCCTGAAGCTGCACTGCTTTACCCCAGGGCTAAGGCTGATTGCTCCTAAGTTTAGGGGCCAGAAAAGGGTCATGCTGCTGCTTTGGGGATTTACTTGAGGTAAGCGCTACCCAGAACTTCCACTCCCCAAGAATCTCCACATCCCAACTCCTGCTCCAGCCCAGATCCCCCTCCCACCCTCTGAACCCTTTGATCCCAGCCTGTAGTATCCTCCTACACTGTAAACCCATCATCCTCATCCTCCCTCCTACACTTCTAGTCTCTTGGCCCCAGACCAGAGCACCCTCCTGCACCTCCTATTCCTTATTCCAGCCCAACCCTAGCCTCTGCAGCCCCAGCCAGTACCCTCAAACTCTCCACATCCCAAACCTCTGCCTCAGCCCAGAGTCCACCCTTGCATCCTGAAACCCTCCTTTCTGGCCCAACCTCAGAACTCACACTCCCAGCCCAGTGCCTGTACCCCCTTCCTACACCCCAACTGCTACCTCAGCCCAGAGCCTCTCCCATACGCTGAAGCCCTTGGCTCCACCCCTGGCCCAAAGCCCCATTCTGCACCCCAAATCCCTTATCTCTGGCCCCACCCTAAAGCCTGCACCTTCAGCCAGAGCCCTCATGCCATCTCACATCCCAATCCACTGCCTTAGCCCAGAGCCCCTTCCCTCACCCCAAATTCCTTATTTCTAGCCCCACCCTGGCACCCACATTCCTATCTGAAGCATTTGCCCTGTTGTGAACCTCAAGCTCCCGCCCAGTGAAAATGAGGAAGTAAGAGTGGGGAGAACAAATGACAGAGGGAGGAGGGATGGAGTGAGCAGAGTTCAGGGCCTCAGAGAATGGATAGGGCAAGGGCATTTGGTTTTGGTGACTAGAAAGCTGGTGTCATTGTTTGGATTGCCAGCTAGAACAGTGCTATGCAACTGTTCTCCTGGGGTACGTCTAAACTACATGGCTTCGTCGATGGAGCCATGTAGATTTGTTGTTTTGGCAAAGGCAAATGAAGCCGCGATTTAAATGATCGCGGCTTCATTTACATTTACATGGCTGCCGCGCTGAGCTGACAAACAGCTGATCAGCTGTTTGTCCACTCAGCGTGCTAGTCTGGACGCTCCCCTGCTGACATCAAAGCCCTTTGTCGGCAGCCCCGGTAAACCTCATCCCATGAGGAATAATGGGGCTGCCGACAAAGGGCTTTGATGTCGGCAGGGGAGCGTCCAGACTAGCGCGCTGAGGCGACAAACAGCTGATCAGCTGTTTGTCGGCTCAGCGCGGCCGCCATGTAAATTTAAATGATGCCACGATCATTTAAATCGCGGCTTCATTTGCCTTTGCCTATGTGTCTAATCTACATGCCTCTGACGACAGAGGCATGTAGTCTAGACACAGCCCTATTCTCACTTTCAAGTGACATTGACACAAAGCAGGCAGCATTATCTTCCATAAATATAAACAAACTAGTTTATCTGAGAGATTAGCAGAACAAGTAGGAGGACTGAGTAGATCTGGAGACTCTGAAGTTTTACAGTGTTTTATTTTTAGCATAGTTATTTTTGTACATAATTCTATATTTGTAAGATCAACTCCCATCATAAATGAATGCACTACAGTACTCATATTGGGTTAATTGCAAATATTATTTCCTTTGTTTCTTTTTTACGGTGCAAATATTTGTAATTAAAATAAAGTGAGCATTGTATATTTTGTGTTCTGTATTGTAATTGAAATCAATACATTTGAAAATGTAGAAAACATCTAGAACTATTTAAATAAATGATATTCTATTATTGTTTAACAGAGCAATTATTCATGTGATTAATCACAATTAGTTTTTTTAATTGCCCGACAGCCCTAAAAACTGGTAATTATAGTGTAACATGAAATGCGGGTAAATTAGACTGAGTATCAAGAAAGAGCTTCTTGACACTGAGCATTAGGATGTGAAAAAATATTCCAAGAGAGACAGTGGAAGCCCATTCCCTGGGAAACTTAAAACTGGACAAAGCAGTATAAATTATACCATAGGGAACAATCCTGTACTGCAGGGTAGAGACTTAATAGGATTTTTCTGGCTCTGATTTGTATGATTCTATTACATTATGCCTGTAGGAGTTTAAAAATGAATTGCACAGAATATTCACTGGATTGTTCCAACCTTTATTCTTACACTGTTTTACTGACAAAGGAGAACTGTAATTCTAATATCAATTATCTGAAAATAATTGATCTCTGTGTTTTTACCTGCCCACCTCCAGGGCACAAAATTAATGTGATTTTTTTATACTTGAAATACATGTGGTCTGTTATTCAGCAGCA